TAATTTTCAACATTCACTTCCATAAGATTTTCAGTTCCAAATTTTCTCCCCATCTCATCCCTCCCCCCACCCCAAGATGGCATGCATTCTGAATACCCCTTCCCCTAATCTGCCCTCCCTTCTATCTCCCCCCTCCCTTTTCTTATCCCCTTTTTCTTCAATTTTCCTTGTAGGGAAAACTATTTTTACATGTAATTGGAGAAAAAATAAAATACTATTAAGTTAAAAAAAAGAAAAAACTGTTAGGGTCCCTATTTCAGTGCCCTTGCAAGCTGTTCAGCAAAATTCTGTTGGCTAGTCTAGAAGAGAGTAATAATGAAATGAAATGCCTTTTGGATTGTCAAGGGAGCCTTGGCCTCCATTTCTGGGCCTTGGAAGCAGGGCACAATTGGGTAATGGGAGCCAGGTTAAGACAGGGCAGAAATACTGAATAGAGACTAGAGGTGCCCTCATATGGAGATGTTAGGAAGGCTAGACAGTATGTTATCAGGAGCAGATCAGGCTCCTCAGTCTGGGGTCCTGATAAGGTTATGTGATCCATCTTTCTGCCTCTAGGAAAAATAGCTATTCCCATGTCTCAAAATAAGAGATTTCTCCTGTTCTTCAAGATCTACAGAAGGGATAGAAGGGGCCTGGGACAGGCAGGGGAAGGAACCTTGGAAAAGAAAGTCAGTCACCATATGAGGAAGGAAAACACAAAGGAAAAAAGGAGAGTAAGAATCCTAGGAAAAGAAAGGAGGCAGCAGAAAAGGGAGGCAAAGGGTTGGGTATCGTTCAAGCTCCCACCTACACCTCCCCTCCCCTACCTTGGGAGGAAGGGAACTCACCTGAGATAAGGACCAACAGCAGGTCATCAGCTGTCAGCTTCTCTGCTAAGTCCCGGATGGCCAGTGCAGCCTGCTGGGCATTCCCATCAGGCAAGTTGTCCTTTGCTCCCTCAAACACTTGGATACAGCTGTTTGGCTTCAGCAGCATCTCCCTGCAAAGGGGGAGTAGTGGGTCCAAGACAGAGGAGGCTTGTGTTCCTGACATTTTCCTACCCTCATTTCCGGGCTATAGGGAAGATTTGGAATGGGGAGAGAGGGGATGACTCTTCTAGTTAAGTCCCAAAATTTCCAAACTTCCTACCTGACATGGGGCCATCTGAGGTGTCCCCTGCTTGATTACAGAGATATTCTCTTTCTCAAATAGGCCTGAACTAGGCAAGCTCAGCTGATGGAAGAAAAGGAATCAACCTGCCAAGTCTCAAGACCAAGCCTAGCACATGACCCAAAGTATTTTATTCATCCTACGTAGATAGGCAGAAAGAATCTGTTCTATCAGGATCCGAAGAAGCCTGTGAGGTGGAAGATGGGGAAAGGACCCTAATCATAGCACCTAGAGTGTCCTCTGTAGCAGTTTCTCTCTCTCCCCTGCCCCCCATTTTGCCCCCCCCTTACTTCATGTCAGTATGTTCCATAGCTTCTTGGATACCCTTGGGCACGCTGATCACACCCTGAACCAGGTGTTCACTCAGTAGCTCCTCTGTCACTGCCGCCATGCCCAGCACAGCTTTGCCAAAGCCTACCAGGTAAAGATTGTGGTGGAGCTGGAAGTTTCTGTCCCGAACCTTCAGCTGTCCAGTCTCTGTGTCCAGTGCCAGGACCCGGTGTAACATGGGGCCTGGCATCACGACCCCCACTGCACCCTCAAACATTTTCCAAGCATGCTCTACCAGAGCCACGTTGCTAGTAGACCAGGAAGCTGGACTCCCCCAAAGTACTGCAGTGGGGCGAGCGCGCGCAAAGCCAGGGAGGATTCGCAGTGTGGCAGCCATGTCTAGCCCACTCTTAGCAGGGCCTGGCATCCATGATCATCTGTAAGAAAAAACGTCAGAAACAAATGAATTCTGTGTGTCTTTCGTGGGACTGACCTCCATCTAACCTCCAGAGACCATGGTAGGCGATGTAAAATAGTGGAACTAACGTGAGATTTAGAACCAAAAGACCTAGGTTCATGGCTCTATCACTTACTATGTGTGTGACTTTGTACAAGTCACTTAAACTCTCTTGGTTTTCATTTCCTTCTCTTCAACTTCAGGAACCAGATGGTCTCCCAGGTCCCTCCCTACTCTGAAACCCTATGATTCTATGATCTCCAAGAGCTCTAGCTTCACAGGGGTTGCTATGGTAATGGACAACTTAAAAAGCTCTGAAAGGCTTTCCTCAGTTCTAGAACTGCTGGCCCTCATTCCTAACCTCTGATCAAAACACTTCCCACTCCCATCCATTGTTTCATCGTTCTCTGTGTCCTACTGTTTCAGGCTGCTTCCCAACCCCCTATTCCCCCTTTGAAATCCCCACACCCTAAGGGCCCAACCTCTCTTCACCAGAAGCCCCCACCACCCCAGGTATAGCAGAGGCACAGCCCTGGCCCATTTTCTTACTCCCTCTGTTCTTCTGGGTTCCCAAATGGTTCTGTCTCAGAGTCCAGAGGTCCTGTTACTCAAACTCTCCAGCAAGGTCATCCTTAGCAAAAGTTAATCATTCACAAAGGGAACACCGCCTCAACAACACCCCCTGAACCCAGTGCCCCATCCCCAGATGTCTACATCCCTATCCCAGTGCCAACCACACCTCCTCATAAGCATTTAGTCCTGTCTCTCCACCACTCTTCTCTATCAAGAGACCCCACTTGGCTGTCTGAATGCCCCAAGTTCCACTCTGCTGTAAATCATTGTTGAGCCTAGGAAAAGACAAAGCCTGAAGTGCAGAGGATGATCAGGGCGGCATCTATCATCCTCATTCTGATATGTAAGAATCACAATCCACTGGGTTTAAGAGATCAATTTCTATTTACGGCAGGCTGAGGACTCTGACCCAAGGTCAGTCCTCAGGTATTCCACCCCAACACTCTTGAAATCTGATGTAGCCTCCAAGGATCAGATCCACTGAGACAGAAAGAATCTCTCTATCCCACCACTACTACCAGAGTGCCTAAAATCATGGGCTGGGGGAAGAGCAATCAACAACATCCATTCACTTCCAAGTGTGGTTCAGAGGAAAGACCCCTAATCTGGCAATCAAAAGGCCTGGGTGGTAGAGTATTTGACTTGGAGTCAGAAAAACCTGTTTTTTTGAATTCTGATTCAAACACTTAGGTTCAAAGAATTATAGGGTCATATAGGTTTACAGATTTAGAGCTAGAAGAGATTTAGGGATTATCCCCCTTCACTTTAGGGATGAAACTGAAGCACAAAGGTTAGTGACTTGCTTAAGGTCACACAGGTAGTGAGTGAGTGAGTGGCAGGTTCAAACCCAGATCCCATGACTTCAAATCGAGTGTTTTTTCCATTGTGCTGTGCTGCCTGGTTGGATGACCCTGGACAAGACTTGACCTTTTTGAGTCTCAATTTCCTTATAACACCTACCTTAAAGTTTGCAGTGAAATTCAAATGAAATACTGTAGGGAAGGCTCTTTGCAAACCTTAAAGCCCTATCAGGTACATTTATTATTAGTTCTGGCTCTGCCAATGACTTGTTATATGACCTTAGGCAAGTTATAAACTCTTTTCTCCCCTGCAAAATAAGGGGATTGAATTGAATGATTTCTCAGGTCCTTGGTGCTAACCATTTGCATTCCCTACCAAATGTGACAATAAGCCCTAGGTAACAATGAAAAGGAACCAGGAGCCAAGACAAAAGCTCAAGGACTGAAGAAGAGGCTGAACTCACTGAGGAAAGACCAACTAGCTATTTTCGCAGAGAGGGCCAGTGGCAGTGAAGAGGTGATGGGACCTGGGCCCCTGAAAGGAAAAAGACCATGTCTTTGAAAGCAACCCAGTCCCTGAATTTTCCCATACATTTCAGTAGCCCAGATCATTGGAGTCTCAGCCCAAGGCATCTGGCCCACCTCAGCCCACTTAGATGGCTTAATTAGCTTACTTGACAATCCTTTCACTGTAGCTCTTAGCCCACCCCAGACTATATAACATTCCTTTCACTATTGCACCTGGCCCACCTCAGACTACTTACCATCCAGATCCTTTCACTGTCCTTTTTTGTATATAAGCATCAGTCTCACCCCTCTTAAGTTGCAGATCCCCTAAGAATCTTGCCCACTATTATTAGGGTTATAATAAACCTTGTCATTTGACTGGAAGAAGGTCTGAGTGCATGAATTCATTCCAGGTGGACATCGCCCTGTACCCCTTTGAGGTTCCCAGCAATTCCAAACCACATCAGCAGTAAGGGCTGGAATGAAAGGCGGGAGAGGAAATGATGGTGGGTATTTCATTGCACATTGCCATAAAATAATTAACTTACAAATTAGCTACAAACTAAGATGGAAAAGCATCCCTACTGAGATAATGTGCCATAGACTTTATATTATGGATCAAATTTCATTTTCAAAGAAATCATATGGTATAAAGTATCTCTTACTTTGATGTAGAAATCTTAGAATACAACCACAACCTACCTCCCCCAAACAATAAAGCTTTGTTGTGTTTTTTCCAGTAATTATCCTAGAATGGAGAAGCAACCTGGGTTCCTAGTCACTAGACTTGGGGTTCTTTGTTCATGAGAGCTTTTTTTTGTTTTGTTTTTTGCTTGATGGTTTTTTTTTCTTTTTTTTTTTGGTTAGGCAATGGGGTTAAGTGACTTGCCCAGGATCACAGACCTAATAAGTATTATGTGTCTGAGGCTGAATTTGAACTCAGGTCCTCCTGAATCCAAGGCCGGTGCTCTATCCACTGTGCCACCTAGCTGCCCCTGTTGCTATGTTTTCTCATGTGCTACTTCTTTGCCATGGAGCCTGACAAGTCATCTCTAGCAGCGGATGTGTCACCTATAATTGACATTTGGAGGAAAATATACCTTAATCATATTTTACATTCTGGGACTATCCCTGCCTCTGGAAAGGGGTATTCAAATCTTTTGCTGGAGAGGAGATAAAAAAAACCCATCCTTAAAAAAAGCCCCAATCCTTAAGAAATAATAGCCAATTTCTAAAATGCTCACATTTTCATAAGGTTTACAAGGTTCCAATATCCTTGAGAGGTGAAAGTGCAAATGTTATTATTTCCATTTTACTGAGGAAGAAACTGAGGCACAGAAAGGTGAAGTGACTTTTGATGGTCACACAGCTAATAAGGGTTAAAACTAGAAATAAACCCACGTCTCTTGAATCCAAATTCAGGACTCTCCACTGCAGTGATGTGCTGCTTTTAAACCATGGGTACTTAACCTGAGCTCTGTGAATTTTTTAAAAAGTATTTGATAACTGTATTTCAACGTAATTAACTTTCTCTGTAGTCCTACACATTTTATTTTACCCATTTAAAAATATTGAGAAGTGGTTATAGACTTCACGAGATCGCCAAATAGTTCCATAATAAAAACCAAAACACTTAAGATTCCCTGCTCTAAGCTTCCCTTGGGCATTGATTATGCCTGCTATGCTCAATAAATGTTTAATGAATCACCCCTTCTCATGTATTCAATGGATCTGTAATCTTATCCATAGCATTTTTCAATCCCAACTCATAACAGCAACAGTTCACATTTCCATAGCCCTTTTACATTTTACCAAGAGCTTTCGTCCCAACCAGCTTGTAAACAGGTGACACCTTGGTCATAATTTCCATTTTACAAATAAGGAAACTGAGGCTACAGAGGGAAAAGCGACTTGCCCAGGGTCTCACAGACAATAGATGACTAAACCTTGGTTTCAGGATCACTTTTCAGCAAACTTCATTCCGTGATTCATTCAATAAACACTGATTATGTGCTAAGGGCTGGGGAGCTTTGGCTGGGAGCAACTAAGAGGAACCTCAGAGGTCTTATTTTACAAGAGGAAACTGAGACCTAGAATAAAATAAACAACAGTCCTAAGGTAATGCTTGCGGCTCCTCACACAAGACACTACAACTCCACCTCTCGGATTTTCTCTTCAGTGTTTCAACGGTGGGCAAACACAAGCCCAGAGGGTACAGCAATCTTGCTCCAGGTCACTCGAATACACAGGGATCATAAGATGCGGAGTTTAAAGGGGGATTGGAGGGCACCTAATCTGATTACCGTGTTTTACAAATTGGGAAATTGAGGCCAAGGGAGGGTAAGGGTTTCACCTAAGGCCACGAGTAAGTGACTGAAGCAGGAGTCTGTCTGCAAACCCAGTGCTCTTTCCAGAGGCAGGGAAGAGCTAGAAAACAGAGGCATTCTCTCGCTCCCCACCTCCATTCCCACGTTCCCTCCCCCGGCGCAGGAGCTGAGGCCCTCATCTTTAAGACCAAGCCCGCAACTGGGCCTCGCGGCCTCCAAGCGGAAGCGCGAAAGCCACTTCCGGCCCATTGCCGGCTCACACCGAAGTTGGATCCGGAAGTGACGCATTCCTGCCCCCTCCTTGTCACTTACTCCGAACTTACTCTGATTGGGCGGTTGTACATGGAGTTTCCGCCTTCTTTTTTCCGTAAACAAGGCAATTCAGCGGGAATCGCCACTGGAAGAGCGAGAAGGATGGATGAGCGAGAAGGATGGATGAGCGAAGGCGCCGACGTTCTGGCTTCAGGCTCTCTTCCCAGCTACTTGCGCCCGGTTCAATTCTCCCACGGCCTCCTGTCTTCGAAAGTTCCCTGTCTTGGGCGGAACTGGAAGTTCTTGGACGGGCGCGAGGCCGGAGCCGGAAGGGGAGAAAGAGCCGGACGGAAGTGGGGCTGGATGGAGACGCCGGCGGGGCAGGGCAGGGTGGGAGTCGCCCGCCTCCGAGGGGGAGAGTGTTGAAGAAAGTCCGGGTGTCTGTTCCGCTTCCCACATCGGCTCCTGAGGCAGAGGGCTCCATCTCCTCCACCTCGTCCCTACGTGCTGCCCTTATCACCTGCCCCCTACTCTCCTCGGAGCCCATCCCCGGTCCCCTCCCGCAGCCCTTGATCCACTCATTGCTCTGCCACCCCCCCCCAGGTCACCCAAGACATCGGAAATGTCACAAACCATGGCTTTGTCTCAGTCCTCTTCCCACTTGAAGTTCTGCTGAGAATTATCGCCTCCTTCGCTTGGCTTCCTTGACACCCCCTCGAGTTGTTTTCTGCTGCATCCCCAGTCGGAGCTGCTCGAGGGTGCCCAGGGCTCATTTTTCTGCCCAAACACTTAATACCTTTGGGGATTTCTTCAGTTTTCGTGGCTTTATCGCTGTGCAGTTGACTCCCAAGCCTTATGTGTCCAGCTTAGTCCTCGTCACTAACTCCAAATTACCCCCTTCCTGCTACGCTCCTGGATGTCCTAGCATCTCAGACTCATGTACCAAAAGAGATTGTAGCTCCTGGACC